CCCAGCTGGGACTTCACCCGCTGCCCATGCCCCTAAATGTCTTCTAAGAGCCCAGTAAGCAATGGAAGTGTTGGTAATGCTGCTAGACAATATTGACCTCCTATGGTTCAGCAAATTCTCTGATTCGGCACTGGTCAGTTCCTGAGGGAGTCAGACTAGAGAGATTCAACCTGTAGTATAACTATCTATCTGCATCCACATTAAGGGAAGGGTGGGGTGATTTTTTGGTTTTTGGGAGGATTTATTGGCACTTTTATTACATCCGTATACAAGCCTTTCGTATTTGTACCATGCTTAGCTCAGTTGGACGCCAGACTCAACTGTGGCCTCTAGCTGCTAATCTATATTAACTTTCAGATCTGTAGATGAAAGGAAATTATTTACATCCACACTACCTAGTGTTGTCTCAAGTGATCTCCCAAGCTAAAGAAAGAAATGCTAGCTCAATATTTAGATGGGACAAACTCCAAACAACAGAAACTGAGGCTTGGCCTTTTTTACAAACTTTTGCTGTAAAAGCCATATCAGTTGGGATGGGGGCATGATTTAGGACCAACAAAGTTGTGCTTGCAAACCCTTTGGTATAGGTGCAATGATACTAGCAAAACTGGTTTTGGCCAGTATAGCTTACTTTGCTTGAGGAGGGACAGATAAAAAAGGATGCCAGTTTAAGCACAGTTATTCTACACAAGGTCTGTATGCTCTAGGACAGTGGTTCCCAACCTTTTGGGGCTGCTGGGGACCCGGGGGCAGGGCCGCTCACGCGCTGTGCATCCGGGGGCAGGGCTGCGCATGCACCGCTCGCCAGGGGGCGGGGCCACATATGTGCTGTGTGCCGGGGCCGGCACATGCCGCGCGCCTGGGGTAGGGGCCGCCCTTGCACCTCGTGCCCAGGGCCGGCACCCACATGTTGTGCACAAGGGCTTATTCCTGAGGGGGAGCGTCAGAGTTCTGGCACAAGAAGCCCTGATTTTCATACATTAGAATGTCAGTTTACTTGTGTAAGAACACATGTCCAGTGTAGACAGGCAGCAAGTTTTTATGCAACTGTGGCCGCTTTTGCAGCAGTGTAGACACAGCTATAGGTTTTCATAAGAGTAGCAGTTGTAACCATTGTGCCTTGCAAAGTTCATACTTTGTTAATTACATGCTACCTTCCCTAAATTTCTCTTTCAATACCAAGCTGGTATTACAGTATCCTTATTCACTTTATCTCCTAAATTGTGTATTTGTGCCATTAGAGAACTTCAGTGATCTCTGTGTATAGCTTGTATATTGATTAGTGAAGCACTTTGGGATGCTTTCGGATGAAAGGGACTTAGTGCTGCGAAGAATACAATTGCTCATCATCAGATTGGCCTTAAATAAAAAAATTTAGTCATGTAAATTGCTAACTGCCAACAGTTCAGAAGAAAAAAGAATCTACACTAACATATGTGAGTGTGTGTGTTGGGGCAAGAAGAGGCAATGTGTGATGGTGAACAGCCATAAGACTAGCTGGAAGTGGTTTAACCAGAGGGTTAAGTTTCCAGCTCTGAATTTAGGTTATCTACAGTGTTTGTTGGGAACTTGTGAAAGGGAGCGTATGTGTACTTTTAAGTTATTTAACTGGATTGCTGTACAACCGGTTGAGCAGTGTGTACCATCTGTACAGAAGAATTTGTATAAGTAATACTGTCTTGTTTTACTGTTGAACGATAAAATAGCGAGACAACTGATAATTGGAAAACTTATTGGGATCCCAATGCATACTCCATTGTGACTCCTACAATCATTCTGTAAAAATGCTTGTGTGACATTACTTTGAAATCAAAATAAGTTGGCATGTGGAAGGGACAAAGGGACACATGGTTTTTTTCCACTGATTTTGCAGTTCTGGCTTACTCTTCAGGCAACGTGTCATCAGGTTTATTAAGCCAAAGAAATTAAAATGCCAAACAAATAGGGATGTATAAAAGTCTAACATTTCTTTACAAACAGGACTAGCACAAGGAACCTGAAGGACTGCCCTAGCACCATGTTGCTGTCACTGCAGAGATGCAAGACTTAGTGAGAGACCACCAAAGTTCTTTGTCACAACAAATTGTCTTTGCAGTAGATATACACTCCCAACAGGTTTTACTGACCTAGTAAGATACTGAAAAACAAAACTTCCTCTTTGTAACTATTATTGATTTTCTGTGTTATTGCTTAGGGCCCTCAGCTGGGCCAGGGTTACTGTGTGCTAGGTGATGTACAAACACACAAGAAAGAAACAGCTCCCTGCCTCAGAGCTCACAGTCTGACAACAGATGGCTGCAAAAATATGATGGGGGAAAGCAAAAGGAAACAAGCAGAGACAGTACTGTACTAGTCAACTTGATTAGCAGCTCCCTTGCTCCTCCTATGCTCTCAAAAAAGTGTCTGTCTCTCTCCACCAGAAGTTAGTCCAATAAAAGATATTACCTCCCCACCCTTCTCTCTCTAATGTCTGGAGACCAACACAGCTACAACAACTCTGCAATAGACGCTCTCTTGCCTTCCTTTCCCGGCTTGGATGTGAGAGAACAAAACTCCCAACACTCTCTTCCCACTTCCCCAGCGCCCCCACTCCACACCCACCCCGTTCCTTCCTCCCCTGGAATTCACTTCTTTTCCTCTCATTCATTTGCTTTCCGTGTTGGAAATACCGCGTGTCTGTTCCCCGCGTTTCCCCTCCCTCAAACTAGTCCAGCTGCCCTTTCGCATGCTAAGCCCTGGCACGGAATCCTCAGCCCCCAGCCCCAGATCCAAGCTAGCTGCATTAGGATCGCAATTCGGGTCAGCTGGAAAGGCATGGAAACGCCTTCCCGAGCTCAGCTGTGGAATCCCGCCCCTGCAGCCACCATTCACTCCTACTCTC